TTTTTTTTTTAATAAAATAAATAGTTTCATTTAAGTTCTATTTGTCACGTACCTGTACCAACCAAATATGTAATCCATCTAGGTCCATATGAGAGTTTAACATGCCAATCTCCACTGACCATACCCTATAGCATAAGAAAGATGAAAATAGAATGCTGAACATCTTCAAAAATCACAAGTAAATTCCATATTGCTGAAAAGGAGTTTGGCTTGTAAATCTATTTGCAGGATTTTGCAATAACTATTAAGCTATTTCAATTTTCAACATCAAGCCCTTTATTTTCCTTAGCCGACAGGTATACTCCATTTTATTATAATGAACTAGGAATCTCTGTTGCGCGATGCACAACCGACCAATAATACCAAAGTATTTATGTTTGAAGATGATACTCCTAAATTCTAAACAAATAGATCCAAAATTACAAATTACATCAAAAGCTTCATAAACTCACCTAAAAACATTACCAAAAAACATTGATAAAAATAAATAAATTATATGGTAAAAAAATGATTCCACGCAGGACTGTTAAAACACGACTTTTAATTTAAAAATCAAAGATAATTGGTAAAACATTATTTCTGTGACGACCAATTTGTCGTAAACTCCGTTACGCTTACTAGTTGGTTTATAAACTACTATTTTTTACTTGGTGTAATTAGTTTGACCACAAGGCAGCCAATAATCTTAATTTTCAGCATGTAAGGGCTCCCAACATATTTTCTAATTGATAGAGATATCTGCTGTTAAAATTTTATAATAACAAACAATGACTTACAACACTTTCTTCTTAAAGCCGATACGTTTTCCTCTTCAAAATGGATAACATACTTGCAATTAATAAATTATGATACACCAGTTGACATGAGATGAGAGGAAATGGATGAAAGTCAACAAATGAATATGAATTTAGGTATGAAAAGAGAAAAGTGGTTCCTCATATCCAAAGCCATTGCTTGAGTTTGGTGGGACATTTTTCAGACAAAAAAGAAACATCTAGCAACAAATAGAAAATATTAAACATTTAAAAAAAATCCCGAAACTACACATGGGAGAATTAGTAATGAGACCATGTTGTCGTGAAGTCCAAATAACACAACCCAAAATGATGTTCTCATAAGACAAAACATATAGAGTGTGGGGGAGTTAAACACGTGGCACGTCAGAGTGGTATCATCAAAATATATAAACACATTCGAGAATTAAAAAAAAAAAAAAATCTAGAAATGTGCTACATATACAAATTTACAAAGGAAAAAGAATTGGCCCAATAAAGGCCCAAAATTAAAGACGGAACGCATGAAAGAGTTTTAAGGTATACACGTGGCGTTAATGAAGCACCCCAACTCCGGCTTATTAAGACGTAGAGGGATGTAATTTATGTCATTTGTGTCAATCCTTGAGAACAGGAAAAAAAAAAAAAAAAGAAGATGTGTCAAAGAAGAATGACTCACAGGCGATCGGCCAGGAGAGGTAAGAACAGCTGCATTTCCACTTGAGATAAACAGTTGGAAAGTACATTGGCCCTCTGAAGGTTTGCATTTGTAATATGAATCGGTTGTATTATAAAGGGAAGCCCGTATTGTTGTATTTAGATGCACCTGTTTGTGATATCAATGCGAAATATTCGTAGACAAATCATTTTGCAGTCGGAGATTCCTTTGAGGAGTGTAATGTAATGTAAAATAATTGGAGAAGAAATTTACTGTGAAACACTTGCCTCGGCATATTCATTATTCAAGTTACCAACTGCAATGTAGTAAGTAGAAGAATCAGAGATGTCCTTCTGAATTACGCCAGTTCCTGAAAGTCAAACCAGTCGGTTACAAGAAGAAAAGAAGGAAAAAACATAAGTTCTCCAGTCTCCACTAGTTTTAACCTCACCATGAATAATATTCCATGACGGGGTTATATTTGGGTAGGATGGCTCCTTAAGCCACTCACTAAGGCCAGCTTCCCCTGCCAGCATGTAGGGAAAATCTTTATACCGTGATAAATCAATGTCAAAATAACAACATTAAATGCCAGCAGAACAAACATTTTCCCAGTGCTCGTCTTTCTTTATAATAAGAACTGCTAGGTACTGTAAAAGGAACTTAAGAAAAGCAATAGAAGAGTTTTTTTCCTGCTTACAAGAACAAAGAAAGATTTAATCAAGAACTTTAAGCAGTAGCTAGACACATGTTTGCCAACTTTCAACACAAAGCGAAAACTGCATTCCCACTATCACACACCAATTGACATATCAATCAGTTGCAATGAGCCTTTCCTTTTCAAAACAAGATATCAAAGAATACATCTATTCTCTGCAAAGCGCAGTGTATTCAAAATGAACTTAGCTTCTCGAATAGAAGTTACCTTCCGCAATTACAAGAATAAGAGAGGATGAACTTCGGGAGTTTACGCTATAAGAGATGCTTATCTGAGATCCTTCATTCAAATAGTATATCCATTCCTATATTTATAAATATAAAAAAAAAAAAAAA